ACCAACCGTATATTTTGGCATGCCACTAGGAGCAAAAAGAAAGTCCTCAGGAATTTGAAATGAGGTGGTCTAGAAGTGTGAAAGAAGATTGGTCAAATGGAAGAATCAATATCTCTCCCTTGGTGGGAGACTTACTCTCATCAATAGTGTTCTCGACTCCATGCGTACCTACAAGATGTCTATCTTTCCTATCCTCTATGGGATCATTGACAGACTTGATGCAATAAGGAGGAATTTCCTATAGGAAGTAAATAGTGACACTAAGAAATTCCACTTGGTTAAGTGGGATAAATTGATTGGGAGCACATAGAAAGGAGGGCTTGGGGGTAAGGAATTTAAATATTCAGAACCAAAGCATTATGATGAAATGGCTATAGAGACTAGAATCTAGTGAACAAGAACTATGGAAAGAACTTATCAAACAGAAGTATGAAATGGAGGATAACTGGTCTACCAAAATGGTCAATAGTACTTATGGAACTAGCATCTGGAGGGCCATCAGAAACCTTTGGCCAAAATTAAGAGAAAATTGCAGCATTAGAGTAGGAAACGGCATGAAGGTCTTCTTCTGGGAGGACAACTGCTTAGACAAGGCTCCCTAAAAACCCTCTTCCCAGATATCTACATACTGAACCAACAACAAAAAGACACTGTCGCAGAATTTTGGTCAAATCAGGGGTGGAATTTGAATTTTAGAAGACCTATAAATGATTGGGAGATCCAAAGTCTAGTAGATTTCTTTGGAATCCTTGAACAATTAATAGAACCTCCACCTCCAAAGATAGATTGTTTTGGAATCATAACTGCAACAGAAGTTTTAGAGTGAAGGAAGCTTACAAAAAAGTTCAACTCTTTAACCCATCAGGTTACTGGCTGGCCACGGAAACTTATCCGAAAAGTTAAAATGCCTCCTAAAGTGTCCTGCTTCACTTGGCTACTGGCTTAGAAAGCTGTCTTGACTCAAGAGAACCTCAAGAAAAAGGGTATCCAACTGAGTCCTAGATGTATCCTGTGTGTAGAAGAGGTTGAAACAGTAAACCACCTCTTTCTTCACTGTAGGATCACTTATATTTGGTGGAGAATTTTCATCAATTCGAAGGACCTACTTTGGGTGTTGCCAAGAAATATTGTCCAGGGCCTGAAGATATGGAGTAGCTTTTCCTACATTTCTGGTCACAAATAAAGATGGAAGACCATCCCCACCTGTATCTGGTGGTCTGTTTGGAAATAGAGGAACCTCAGATGCTTCCAGAACAAAAGTAATAGCATCCAGAAGATGAAGATGAATTGCTTTGTTTTATTTCACTTTTGGTGTAAACATGAGTATATGGAAGATCTAGAATCACTAATGAATGCTTTAAGCACCTTGTATTTTTTGTTTATTTTGGATTAAAGATCTTCCTGATACTCATTTGTAATTAGTAAACCTGTAAGAAGATGTGGCGGGTTTGAATTTTTGGAATATAATACAAGACAGTTACCTTCTCAAAAAAAAGAAGGATATTATTGCTCAATCGAAGAAATACTGATGTGGTGTGGACTCATCAAGTCAAGTTACAGTACAAAGAGCTCTATTGTGCTTAGTTCAAGCAAACCATTGGAAGGGTATCATTGCTCAATTCAAGGCTATCCATGAGACCCCCTAACTCAAGATATCAAGCATGGTCTTGTCGTACCAAGTCAAGTTATTCATGAGGGTATCTCATACCACTACTTAAACCTATCTTAGTTTAACATGCTTTGATTCATTTTAGGTGAGAAAATCTGTCAACCTAGAATCATTCTACGTGAGAAAACCATTCACATTAATATTCATATATGTTCATGAAAATGTCCTTTCAATCAACACAACATCTATATCATAATCAGTGACACTTTACTCTCAAAGTGTCTTCATACATTTACAGTATATTTCACAAAAACATGCATAATATCATGCTTACTCTATCAAGGTTCTAAACCTACTTTCAATCTCCACATCTAGAAGTCATACACTAGATAGGGATCTCAGGAAAGCTTTTATATATTCATAATATAGATCAAGTAGGTAAATTCTTCCACAACAACCATATCTACAATTCAACATTCATCATATAGCCATATAGATCATGGGTTAACTTGGGGTCACTTGTGGCTCTAAGTTTCATGTTACGGTTAGGGGGTAATCTTTGATCATGATAAACTAGTCGGGACCTTATGGCACAGTTAATTTTGTGATTTCGAACACATGTCCCATGGTCCTATTTTGACTCAATATTTTGCCTTGAATCTTTGTATAGCAAATTCGGTATCATTTCACTCATAGTGACATTTATATTTCTAATCGGATAATGTGACATCGTTCAAAGGATTTTTGGAAGGGGAAAAGCTCTTAAATAAAGGTTCAAGTGCGATTTGGGTCTTGAGGTTGGTTGTGGTTTCTCCCTTTTAAACTTGGCTCAGTTAGATTCTATATAAATTTAGTAGTATTGATCGTTAGGAAGGTTTTTTAGGATGAGATTCTATGTTAGTATTATCCTTAGTTGTATTTTGGACTTCTCGAGTTATTAACTTAGCTTTTTAGCCTTGAAATCTTAGGTTATGATTAGTTGTAGTCTTGGTTACCGTTATAGGATCCTTAGAATGATTCTTGGTGGCTTAAAACTTAAGCTAACATGTGTTAAATGATTTGGTATATTTGTGCGTATTTTGTTTTACTTTGAGTTTTACTTCATCATTATGCATGAGGCCTTGGATTGGCTGGAATTCCATGTTAGTACGAATATACTGCAACGGCTATGTACCCGATTATTTTTGTGGTATGATTGAATTTGAATGGATTTGTTGTGTTTGTGTGCATTCATGTGCACAACATTTACTGTTGGCATGTTTTAAACAAATATGAAAGAATGGTGTAACTAAGATACTTAAATGACTTTATCACAAGTTTTACTTGTTTTATACTCCAAGGGCGTGTTATTGATTTTTATTTAAAGAAACTTGAAATTTTGAAAGGAAGTGTAATTTTGAAAGGAAAAGTAATTTTTTCTGAGGCTTTTGTTTCAAAAATGTACTTATTTTAACTCATCCATTTACTTTTATTGATTAGCTTAAGGAGATATCCCAAGCAGCCCAAGGAGATATTCAAGATTATATTTATTGCATTTCATCAGTTGTCAAGTCCCAGAGATTATATAGGGAGGCTCGAGGAACTTTGTCGGGCTTCTACTTTTATGCATTGGCCATATTCGTAGTGCATCATCTTGTTTTATCAACTTGGTTGTGATTTTCTTGTATTGGTTTTCAACTTCTAATTATTAGTATCTTCACTATCATTAGTGGTTTGTATAGCTCTCTTTACTTGTTAAATTGTAGTGTTAGCACTATCGTGTCTCTCTTATTTATATAGTTTCTATCTGAGCTCGACCGACCTAATATGTCTATTAAGTACTTGTATTTTGACTCTAATATTACACTTCTACATATTCGTCTGATGCAACACCTTGTAGGAGCCAACCTCGCTAAGTTTGGATCTCCCACGTCCGTCGTTGATTTGACCTATGGTGAACTCTTTGCTTCAAGAGATTGCTACTTTCCTTTTTTTATTCTTGTTATGTATGTTATCTTTTGATTATAGAAATTTGATGTATATAGTCTTTTCTTTGCTTAGACACTCTTATACAAGTGACACCAGGTTCAGAGTTGATACTTGATCTATATAATCTATTACTGCATTATGGAGTTCAAAATCAACATTTTTTGTCCTTACATTTTTTTATGTCTAGCTAAAAGTTGTTCTAATCAGAGACTTTCCTCTACCATTATTTTTGCCGTTGGAGTTGAGGTCTATATGACATCTCGGATTGGTGCATTAAGATCACGTTTATCCTCAATTATCACGTTGTGCAGTATAATACATGTAGACATTATATCATTTAGCACTTTCTTTCTCCAAAAATGTGACAGTCCTACAATAATTGCAAACTTCGAATGCACGTCCAACAACTTTTCGACGCGATTCCTTTTTTACGCGAATTAATTTTTATGTTGTTTATTGTATTTTATCTTGTATTTAAATATTATGTTATGTATTGTATTGTTATTTGTATTTAAATTAAATTTTTCATTTTACAATTTTAATTTTATGTATTCTTTATAATGAAAATTAATAATAAAATAAAATTTTATTATTGATGAAAATTAGTAAAAAAAAAATATTACTAATGTGAAATTAAAGTAGTATATATTATATAATATATTTTTAAAATACTAGATATAACATTTAAAAATATTATGAACATTAAATATTAAATTAATAAAGTATATGTAAAATAATATATTAATTAGAAAGTAATGAAATATTAATAAAATATTGAAAAAGTTAAATAAAGAGTTTGAATAGTAGTTTTCAACTCTCTAAATTTGAAGAATAGAGAGTGATTTGGAGTGTCCATGCTCTATTTTACTCTCAATATATAGAGAATGGAGAGTAAAATAGAGATGGATTGGAGATGGTGTAAAGACTCTAATATTGACTATTTAAACAAAATTGAATTATTATTATTTGATGGGATAATGCCCAAGTACCCCCTCAACCTATGCCCGAAATCTCAGAGACACACTTATACTATACTAAGGTCCTATTACCCCCCTGAACTTATTTTATTAATAATATTTTACCCTTTTCGACCTACGTGGCACTATCTTGTGGGCCCAACGATGGTTGACTTTTTTTTCAAACTAGTGCCACGTAGGCTGAAAAGGGGTAGAAAATTACTTATAAAATAAGTTCAGGAGGGTAATAGGACCTTAGTATAGTATAAGTGTGTCTCCGGGATTTCGGGCATAGGTTGAAGGGGTACTTGTGCATTTTCCCTTATTTGATTCTAAAAAGGAAATTATGCCAATAAAAGTGGACGGAGGTAGTATATAACAATTGTGAGGTATCTGATAATACTCACTCAACTCCAAACCTTAGTGGATCACTAGTTAAGTTTTTTTGTCAAATTTAATTACCAGTCTTAAAAAATGGTTATAGAAATATTTTGCTATATAGTTATCATTGTGACAAACAAGATACATGAGGTGAGTTTGAAGAAGCTTTTCCTTTAACATTATTACAAGTAGCAAAAATCTTTTTTCCAGGCTCAACTGAAGTTATGTATATATTCTCCAACTCAACATTAGTGCAAGCTGTGCTATTACTACAATTCATCTTTATTGCTAGCTTGCTGCTTGTAGTTCCATATATTTTCTTGTATGTTACATTGCTCACTTTAACTGCACTTACCTGTTCAAACATTTTTAAAACAAAAAATAACTTTCAAATTTCTATCTTCTCTAGAAAATTTAAAAATAAAATGATATTATATTTTATTTTATTTTATTTTCACCTGAGGTTGACATGAATGGACACTATTGCAATAATTTTGATCAATAATGATTGGGTTTTCCACATTTTTGAGGTTAATATTCTCAAAATGTATAGATCTAGCATATCCTGAACCACCCTATGAACACATAAGAAGAGATATTTTAGAGAAAAAAACAACATAGGCATATAATTATTTTTTAAAAAAAATACCACACTAACATGTGTAAAATGAAATGTGATACTTTTAGTTACCTGCCATGTCTTAATTCTTACACCATTTTGGGTATCCTCTAAGTGGCAATTCGTAATATAAACGTTTTCCACATTAGCAAATGTATTATTTGGACCTAAACTTCCAATACTGCATACAAATTATAAAATTGTATTAGTTAATAAACTGAGTTTTCTATTTAGAATTAAATAAAATAGTAAAATGTTCATGTTCTACCTTATACCATGACCTGGTCCACATCTAATACCAGTAATATTGATATCAGAGCATCCAGTATTGATGCCAATGCAGTCATCACCTGCTTTGTAAGTTCATTAATTTTCGCGTAAGAAATCAAAAATTATATATAATTAATATTAAACAGTTATTTTCAGTAGAGAAAAATTAAAACATTATATGCAAGCTAGTTTACCTGTTTGAATAATGGAGTCTCTAATTTGAACTTGTCTAGAGAAAAAGATATCGATACCATCGGTATTACGACTATAATTTGGTGCACTTATATGAATATTTGAGATCGTTACTCCCTTGTTATAAGTAAGAATTATATGGTCCCTTGAACTATTCACTAGCTTTATTCCATTCAATCGAAGTCCATTACAGTAATTAAATTGAACAACCTACAAAAAGGAACAGATGTGCAAAACCAAGTATTAAATCAAATTTATTTTATTATTAAAGGATAGATAACTTCCATATTGGATTAATTTTAACAAATTTGAAAGAAGAGAGAAAAAGAAAATCAAGTAGTGATTCGTACTAGACGCACGCAGCCCTGTATTTCACTATAAGAAATTAGCTTTGACTTAAATAACAAAAATTTCATACTAATCTCATTTAGTGATGAGTAACATGAAAAATCAATGAGTTAGGAGCTATTTCGCGACCAACTACTGATAAAATTACATAGTTGATTTCATGTTTCTGCAAGTGAATTTGATAACCATGTTATTTAATTGAATAGAAAGTGATTGCATGCATTATATGAAACTACATACCGTTGGTTTAGTGCAAGTTCCGTTGACCTGAAATGAATAATCTTACATGTAAGTATATTTATGAAAGCAATTAAAACATGGTTTGAAACTGTTTTAGCTTGTGGCACGCACCCTGGTACGGCTAGGAGTATCCCACCATCGTTGACCATTGCCATTGATAGTACCAGAACCATTGATAAAAAGACCAGCAACTCCTGTAAAATAAATCCAACATACATTTTCACAACCTGTCCATGCCACTGGGTCCTTGGGTGCTACAATGGATCCTAATAACTGCAAACCATAAGCTTAAACTAATAAAAAACTTTCATTCATATAATCAGGACACTAATTAGGTTCTACAAAAATAATTTTTAACAGCAATAAGTACAATTAAAATAATGTTGAAGCAGCTTATAACTTACTTGTAGATGAATATTGGCTGACTTACAAGGCCCTTGAAATGTTATAGGCCCTACTAGAAATGATTTTTCACTTGGTATAAGTATTGATGGATTTTCATCGCTACACGCAGCTCTCCAAACTTGTTTGAATGCCTATAATCGATCATGGAATCACAAGTTATAAAACATTGATCATTGTATAGAAGTTGGGAATTCGTTTTGCACAGTATTTTTCAAGCATATGAGGAATCAAATTACTTGAGTGTCATCGTGCACTCCATCTCCAAAAGCGCCATAACATGTTACATCAAAAATACCAGCAACACTTCTTTCAATAAGAAATGTAGTAATACAAATCAGAAAGATAAGTGCTTGGCCCTGCAGAAACAAAAACTATATAATTATCATCGTAACAAATATTAGGGTTGGTGAAACAAGTCAAACATTATAAGAATTCAAAAAAAATTCCATAGCATGTAGCTCAATTAGTTAGTTATATGAATTTTTACTTTTTAGTGAGGATTGAGTCTTCCCTTTATAATCTCCTTTCCCATTTGGGTGATTATTCGATATTTCGATTCAATTTTGATTTTTCTTTTTATTTCAATCTTCTAATTTTCAATTACAGAGTTCGTTTGAAATTGATTTTTTTTCTGCTTAATAGGCTTTTTCAAGTTTTATGTTTTATGACTTTTTTGTCAGATTTTTTAGCCTAATGGGCTAAAAAGCTTTACAAAACCTACAAGAATTCAAATTACATTCGTACCCCAATCACACCAAATTTTCGGTTAAACTAATACTAATGTATAAATTTTGGTTAAATCAAATTATCGAGCTACTTACCAAAAACCAACCAGTAACACCAAAGTTACAAAAAGTTATCAATTGATACCGGAATGAAATCCAAAAAAACAAATCAATTCAATTCAGTTGACTATTCTGATTTTTTTTAAAAAATTATGAAAGAAAAAACTTATTATGTTTAGAAATAAAAACCCATAACTAGTGTATAATAAGGAGTCGAGAAGATAGAGAATTTTGAACTTCTAGTCAAAAATTCTCTGTATACTATATCATATATTCACACATAAAAAGTTTTAAAAAATCAGTCCTTTCCTATTTATTTTTTAATTTATACAACTGACATGTTCCTTCAAGAAAATTCTATAAAATTGAAACAATACACTAAAGATTAGTATGATGCACAAATCAAGATATATGGCTGACATAATAGATCATTTTCACCTTGAATGAGATGGAAAAAGAAGATGGGCTACAATAATTGCTTAGTTAATGTTCCAAATTAAGAAGTGTTTGACCATAATTTTTTTTGAACATACCAAAATTGACTTCAAAGCTTAATATTGAAAATTCCACAACTCAAAATTGTTTAAATTGGCTAATCTATAATCAAATTTTGTGAGGGATATTGATAGAGGATAAATATGTTGATTCAGAAATCATTAGTTTAATTGATAGTGAAAATATTCAAGAATAATTGTATTTTACTTCACGTCATTTGACTACATTAATAAATAAATAAATATAATACACAATTTGTCTTCATTCATTTAAGCAAAATCATTATAATGTGGATACCATTGAAGACATTTACAATAGAAAAGTTTGATCAAAATCAGCCAAAAATATTTTTAAAAAATAAATTATGCGTGATTTAATGATTTAATAAAAAAATTACATAATTAAGAAACCTGAGGAGAAAGATCCAAAAGAATTTGTGTATGAGTTAGACCAAAAAAAATATCTTAGGGGCAAGTGCAACTATATCTAATATGTTTTCAATTAGAAATAGAGATGATTTTATTCTCTGTAAATAAAAACTTCTATTTAATGAGAAATGAATGTACAAGTACATCCAATTCAACACAACTGACCAAAAGCACCAAAAAGTAAAAAACAAAACAACAAATAGCAAAAAAAATAGGAAAGAGAAGAGGAAAGTGAAAAGCTAACGATCAGAACAGAAAGATTTTTGCAGTATATTCATCACGTGAATTTTCTTACATCATTTCTATAGTACCTCAAATTTTTCTAGACTAAGGATTGAATTTTTCTATAGTACCTCAAGTTTCACTCATTTTTAATAAACTATAAATGAAAAGATAATTTTATAAAAAATTAATTCTTTCTATTTCAATTTATGTGATATTTTTCATTTTCAATTTAAATTTGATCAAACGTATTGAATATTTAATTTTTTAAAATTAAATTTATATATTTATAAATTACTTAAAAAATATTATATGTCATATTAATAAACAAGTCAAAGTTATTAAAAAATATATAGAAGATTTATAATAAAAAATAAATATATATAAATTTTAGAATTGGGACAGAGAATAACAGGGAAACAACAACGATTACTAGTAAGGGTAATTAAAAAGTAATATTAAAATTATTCAATCATTTCATGAAGTTAGCAAGTATTATCGTGTATTTTTCAAAGAAAAATATTTAATAAACAACCATTGTTGAACGGAAAAAATTTCAATATCCATTAAGCTAATTAAAAACTGAACAATCAAATCTGAAAGAGCTGAAGAATACGAACCTCCATAGCTGATTACAGGAACTGGACTCGGACAGGAGCCTGTGGGCGAACGATCGAAGGAATTAAATTGTAGAAACAGTTTGGATGTGTGAATTATGGCTGTGCCGGTGAATCAGATAACCGATATGAATTTTGTTAGGCGGTGAAGTAAGTAAATTTATGAAGCAAACAATTGTCTGTCTGAATGGGGTCACTCTTGTACGGAGGCCGAAATCAGTGGCCCTCTAAATTCTTAAATCCCAAATTTCACTAAATATATTAGAAAATAAAGGAAACAAGAAATGACTCTCTTCCATTTCTATTCAAAACAAAAATTGTCAACATTCTAAATGCAATAAGTGTTTTTTATTTGCAACTGGTTTCTAAAGTTGTTAATATAAGTTAAATATGTTGGATTGACTTGGCTTAATCCTAAATTTGATACGGTTGTTACAATATTTGAAGCTCAATTAAGAAACAAGTTTTTTTTAATCTGACCAGAATAAATTTATCGATTTGTTGAGATTATGAAATATGAATAGAGTTGACATGTGGGTCAAATAAATATTAATTAAAATATAAAAAAAATAGAGTATTACAAATAAGAAGAGTCTGAACACAAAAAATTTTGAAGTTTGAAATATTATAATTTAAATACAAATTATATTTATAAAATGTGTATTACATAAAATAAAATTTTCCTAAAATTTCTAGGAGTTGCTACATAGGTCGTAGCCATGAAATATTGTCATATTTTTTAGTGTTTTATTTCGATCATTGAAAAATAATCATGTTTTTATTTTTATTTAGTTATTTATGCTTTCAACTTGAAATCAAACTTAATTAAATATTATAATGATAATTTTATCTGTGAATTTGATTAAAAGGTGGTAACATGACCCACGTACTTGTGGGCTGGACCTATCATTTCCTGATTCATACAAAAAATTGGCTAGCCCGATCTGATCGATCAAATTTCAAAGTCTTATGGATTAGTCCGGATGGGGTAAGTCATCTCATGTTGACAACTTTATGGTGGTTTCATATGCATTTCATCATTTTCAATTTTGTCGTCAACATTATTTTTCAATGGTACCCACAATTTCTTCTAAGGTCTCTTTTGAACATGTATCATTTTCGCCCATCCAATAAGTTATTAATGTCTATTTTATTGTGGAAATCATGATCATTAATCATGACCTCAAGTTTATTAAAGACGTTTTCAAGATTGGTTCATTAAATAAATTCTCTGAAATATCATCTCCAAACAAATTTTGTTATGTCAAAACTCTCTTTAAATTAATAAGTATTAATTTATTGATTAAATTATACCTTTATAAAATAATAATATTTCATGATTCACTTATATTAATTTAGTGCTAACCAAATACAGCTACAACTTTACATAAATTCAAATAAGTGAAAATATATGGAATAAAGTAGAAAAATTTTATGGTGGGAGAGGTCCAAGTATGACTTGGTGTGTGAGGCATTATTTTTTATTAAAAAAATATGTAGGTCCCACATTTTCTATTCAACTTTGTTGTTTCTCTCTCCTGTCTTACTTAATTTTATAAACCGAAAAGGCCTAAAATATCCTCGAAGTATTGAAAATGGTACACAATTACCTTTCATCCACCTATTAGCCCCCAAATATCCTTCACATCCACCTTTGCGTAAATTTACCCCTTTATTAACGGACTAAAATTAAATAATAATTTTAATGACGTGATACTCAAACATTGATTGTAATTTAATTATTTAAAATAATTTTAAACCACCCATTACTTTTTAAGTCAACATATGTAGATACCTCTAACAGGTTTAGCCCCATAACAATAGCTAAAAAGGAAGCAGCCACGGGCAATCCTTGTCCTATTTGGCCATATGCCTTTCCAGCATATGCAGCCGCAATACCCAATAATGCTAGTGTGGTTGCCAATCCCAGTGCAAATGCAATTGAATCTCCAACAACCTATACACAAGGATTGCCTAAGTGTTAAGAGAGAAAATTGAACTAGTACTATATAACTTCACAGATTTAAACATATAGACAATAATAAAACACAAAAATATATAATAATAGAGATATCAATCGATCAATCGAGAGAAGAAAAGAAAAGAAAAACAGAGTAGATTATGAGTGCTTACCTGAGCGCGAGAGAGGAATTTGATTTGATTATTAGGTGCTTTGTTTTTTGGAGTTAAGCTTTTGTTTGTGTTTTGAAGTTGGAAAAAGTGTGAATCAAAGAGAGAGAGAATGAAGAAAGATGAGCAGAAATTGTTGGTATTTAGTAGCAGTAGAAAGGAAAGAGAGAGGGAGGAGAGAAGCTTTTCTTAGTTAAAATGGGTTGATTTAAAATTATTTTAAATAATTAAATTATAATTGATGGTTGAGTGTTACGTCATTAAAAATTATTATTTAATTATTTTTAATTTTGATCTGTTAATGAAGGGGTAAATTTGGACCCAAAGATAGATGTGACTGGTATTTGGGGGCCAAAATGTACCATTTTCAATTCTTCGAGCATATTTTAGGCCTTTTACCGTTTTATAAATAAAAAATTTTGTGGGTCCTATTATTTTTATTTTACATTGTTATTTGTTTTTTCCACACATTTTACTCCACATTCGTTCACTTGTCCATTTTTTTCTTTGCCTTCTTATTATAAAAAAAAATCTTCTATTCTTCTTTCCTCTAATATTTGAGATCAATTTTCAGCTATGAATTTATTTATTCAATTTTTATATCATTTATATATTTATCTTTATCATATTTGACAATTAACAAGTATATTATTTTTAATTTCTTAAAGTACATAAAGTATGAAAATAAAAAATGGTGAAAAAAATTACAAATGAAAAATAAAATGTTCATCTACGAAATAAAAGTCTAGATAGTCAATTAATTAAATTAATAATTTTTCTCATTTTGTACATGCATTTATGCATGATTGATTGATTTTTCACTAATCAGATTGAATTATTTCATCAATTTTTTATATTTATAAACCATACCAAATTAATGAAATTAGATTTTTTGATTTTCTTAATTTTTTAATCTTGATTTGAAAATTTTTACAATAAAATGAATT